ACGGCCTCTGAATCCAATTTTTGTTTCAGTTTTATTTTCATTTTCTTTCCAGACACACACACACACACACACACACACACACACTCCCTCTTCTTTGTCTTTACAAAAATGCAAATTTTTTTTTATTATGGTTGAAGATAAATCCAATTTAGTCTGTATTTGGGGAAAAAATCTTTGGCAGCTTGTGAATTTGATTTCCATTTCCCTTTCATTTTAATTCTCTTTCTCCATTATATATATTATGTATTGGGAAAAAACTTTGTTTTTGTAAATAGAAAACAACTAAAATTTTACCATGAAAATAGAAATATGAATCACATTCATATAAGTATCATGTTGGATCAAATGATGAATATACATATGTGTAATTAACAACTATCATGTAGTATGATCCTTTAATTAATTTATGTCTCGGATGGAAATGAGACATGAATCATATACTAAATATATATACATATATATATATTATGTAATTCAATTAGTTAGCTTAATTAAATGAATTCAAGTGAAAACTCTTTTTCATTAATCTCACATAGTACATGTTTTCTTTTTCTTTAGAGGGATAGAGCCCTTACTAGTTCTTACCCATCTCTATGAGCTTCAAACCATAAGTTATGATATCTTTATATGACAAAAATTAGCCATAAATTAGTAGCACTAAAGCATGATGTAACACTTATTAGATGACCCATGATAATCTTTGAATAAGAACTAATTTTATATCTAACAATGATGGACCCAATACAATTGACAAGAAAGTAACAATCCTTGTATGTGAGCTATGTGACCAATTAATTGAACTCATTTATTTATAAATTGTACATTCATCATTTTGCGGCGACCCCCCTCTTATAGGGTGTGTTCGAAGCACACTACACTTTACACTAAATTAAATAAAACATAATGAGACTTTAATTAATACAGAAATACAAAAGTGTTACATTCCTTGATATATGTACAATAGATACATACAAAACAAGACTCTAAAATTTTTCTTTCTTACATTATGAAGCAAATATATAAAATATTAATCTGAGTTCTTATAGATTCTAATTTGCAAAAGACTTCTCTGCTATTACCGCTTATTCCTCAGCGGTCTCTGCAGGATATGAAAACGATGAGCAAATTAGATATACTATCCCAATAAGTAGATATCATGATACACAACATAACATGTAATATATATAGCTTTCACATACATCAAAATATATATCTTATACATTTACAAATAATAGATAACTAAATCATAAAATCACATTCGCTTGGCTACATTGTACAATAAGCTATGATACATCACTATTATGGAGGGTCGTTCCTATCTTTCTACTACCATACTTGTATAGGCGCACACTTAATACTTAACACATCTCATGCACCCAAAAATAGAACGGTTATGCCTGCACACAGAAGCCTAGCGTCATGCAGGTACTTTCGGAACAACTTACCTCGATAATGATCAATGCACACTTATTAAAATTACTTTCCAAAACACATGGGCAAAATAACACTTAAAATATGTTAGCACTTTCACAAAACACTTGCACTTTATGTATGAAAGTACGTATTAAATACTAATGAAAATACTTGAAAACTATGTATGCTGTGTGATCATAATATTCATTTATCTTGGGTCCTATGCAAACCTTGATTTGGGTAGAGTCCCCTCTTATATAAGCTCTAATTACTCTACTCAATCTAATAGATTTTTCCCTTATAAAACCCTTAAATTTCTCTATTGACATGGGCAGAGTCTCCCTGTATGAAAACCTTAATTTTCTATTTTTAAAAAGGTGGAGTCTCCCCTTAGTTTATCTCAATTTTCCACCAAAATTTTGGCGGAGTCTCCTTTTAGGAATATTGATAAATTCAATCCAAAAATACCCTCTTCATATGGAAATTATATTTATAAGAACAAGAGTTTAAACGGGCTTACCTCATATCACTTGCAACTTTAACTCCACCAGAGTTCTGGCTTAATTTTGAGCCTTTTTCTCCAAAAAATTCAACAGAATTCTGGGATGTTTTTGAGCTATTTCTAACCTAAAAAATATCCCTTACAACATTGAGAAACTAACCTCAAAATTTCAAGAGAAATAGAATACAATTAATGGAGAAAACTTACCTTAAGCTTGCAAGTTCCCTTGTGTTGGTTATGAGTTTTCTCCCTCTTTTTATCTCTTTTCTTTTGGTTTCTTCCTTCCTTCTTCCTTCCTCTCCCTTCGTCTTCCAATCCAGGCAGATTTTTCTCAAGGAAAAACTCTCAAATTCCCTGAGTTTTCTTGGGTAGGCACCTTTTTTCGCTCTTTTTCTTTTATTATCTCTCTTTTTTTTTCTCTCTCTAACTTTGCTCTCCTTCACTGTAGAATGCATTTCTAATCTCCTCACCCCTATTTATAAGAAAGGAAAGCCCCAAGGGTCGGCCAAGAGGGGTTTAGGTGACAAATGGGTGTGGAGCCACGTGCGATAGAATATGCGTATAGATTATGCCTTGTGCCCTGTGCGGATGGGACGTGCACACAGGTGAATGTCCTTTGCTGGCCGCACATGCGCACGCACGACCAGGGTCTTTTCCGTGGGCATTTCTGGGGGATTTTTTTTTCCATTTCTCCTCCATTTTTTGTGAAATCTTTTTATTTTAAGTTTAAAAAATAAATTATCAACATATAAATTAATAAAAATAATTTTAATAATTATTTAAACTAAATAGATATGAAACTAAAATATGAAATTCATTTAGAAATTTAAAATATGAAATTTAAAGAGTTCAAATAGTCTTAAGGTCTGAATAAATGAGAGTTCACATTACAAATTAAGCACGAAGGTTTTTGGGGTGTTACATTATCCCCACCTTAGAAAATTTGGTCCCCTAAATTTATCATGAATAGGTCAACAAACTTCTCTCGCATTTCACATTCTAGTTCTCATGTCACCTCCTTCGGAGTATGGTGTTGTCACTGCACTTCACCATTGGGATCCTCTTATTGCGTAAAATTTTGTCGGTCCAACCAAGGATTTTCCCGGGAGGCTCCTCATAAGTCATATATGCTTGAACCTGCATTTCTTGGAGAGGAATGATGTGAAAAGGG